AAATGACAACATGAAACAACTTTTGAGGTGCATAAACTATGACTAACATCAGTGGCAGCTTTGTGGTGATTTGAAGGTTGTTGCTCTCTTGCTTGGTCTGCAGACTGGATACACAAAGTACTGCTGTTTTCTCTGCGTATGGGATAGTCGTGCAAGAGATTCCCACTACATCAAGAAAGATTGGCCACTCCGACAGTCATTGGAGCCTGGGAGGAAAAGTGTCCAGCATCCACCACTTGTTGAATCAAGGAAGATTTTGTTACCTTACACATCAAGCTGGGTCTGATGAAGAACTTCGTCAAGGCCATTGACAAAACACAAGCAGCTTTCAAGTATCTCCGTGGAAAATTTCCAAGGTTAAGTGAAGCTAAGATAAAGGAAGGTGTCTTTGTTGGTCCTCAGATTCGTGAACTTCTTCGAGACGATGCATTTGACCATGCACTGCGTGGCAAGGAAAAGACGGCATGGAAAGCCTTCCAGTTAGTGGCAATAAATTTTCTCGGAAACAACAAGGCAGACAACTTGTTGTTGGTGGAAAACCTCCTCAAGGCATACAAAAGCCTTGGTTGCAACATGTCACTAAAAATACATTTTTTGCTCTCTCATCTAGATTTTTTTCCACCGAACTGCGAAGCAGTGAGCGACTAGCACGGCGAGCGATTTCACCAGGACATTGCAACAATGGAGAAACGCTATCAGGGCAAATGGAGCCCATCAATGTTTGCAGACTATTGCTGGACAGTGACAAGAGATGCTCCATTTAATGAATACAAGAGACAAGCCAAGAAGCGCTGAGTAGACACTGAATAGGACTAAACTATGTACAGAATAGTTTTTTGCCTTTTGTTTCATAATACATTTTATTTATATAACCCTTTTGCTGATTTTTAAAGTGTTACATAAACAGGACAGGTGAAATATTATCATGTAAAGCAACCATAAACACATAAAAGACCTAGGTTTACAATTTATGATTAAAACTCTACTATCTACACAATATACATAAACATAAAATGTAAAAACTTAAATATCTTAAAAACAGTAGCCAATCAGTTGTTTTAATTGTGAGATTTGAATTCAGCACATCAAAATACATAATAAATAGCACATTTTATCTCTGAAGCAGATGATTTCTCAAAAATTGTAGACCAGTGTTATCTAGTTGCCTATGTCTGGAATTAGGTACCTAACTTGGAAAATTTTGTCCCCAAGTCTCTTTACCTCTGTGGACCTATCTGTTACATGAGTACAATACTGCTACAGAGGTGATTTAAGGCTTAGTCTTTCTAAAGCACTAAGATCCTTCCAGCCAAGGTGCCAGCATTAGGTAAAAGCAAAGCAAATAATCACTTCAGGTGTTTGCATTTATGTTAATGCCAGGCTGCAATGTTTTCCATTGCATCTATGCACATACCTCTGCCCACTTGATTGTTTTAAGGCTGATCCTGTGTGCCATGCAAGTGCAAATCCTTATTCATCTTTTCTCATTCTTAGAGACAGTGGAGTTCATAAATTGAAATAAATCATTATAAATACATCCAACTCAATAAGCAAGTTCTAAGTCTTTCTAGTATCTGCGCAGCTCACTTTCCTTGTGAGCTGGTTTAGCCTACAAAATAAAGGTCAATTATGAGTCAGGCTGTTAGAAAGAAGACATGGCTGTACTTTCACAGTGCCACTCTCTCCCTTGTTTTTTTCCTCCTGAATCATCACATGAGAAAAGGCTGAGAGAATATATAAAAGCAGCCTGAATGGAGTTTCACCTTGTTCATGATGCAGAGTCAGATTCTGTAATTGCTTTGTGGTTCCAAGCATTATTTTGTGCCATGTAGGGGACGTCTTGATGAGGGAAACATGAAGTGTTTTAGGAGACCTTCACGGATACAGATGGCATGGACATTTCAGAGGTCAGGAACAATATTTTTGCAAACCTCATACAACAAATGAAGCCATTAGAAACAGAATATTTGCTACTTGCACTGGTGACATTTACTATGGCTTTATGTTTCCCATTCCAAGTAAGTAATGCAGTGAGCAAACCTCCATCTTTAAGGTGCCCACCTGCACCTATTGCAACATTTTCCAGTTCTTTATATTGTAATATTTACATGCAACACTGCATCTGGATACGTAGTGAATGTCTATCTGTAAACAGGGGTGTTTTCCCCTGTAAGAACCAGCTGTGACATAATGTACCTTCATTTAGCTCAGTTACTATATAGGCAGTTCCTTCAGGGCAGCTGTGAGCTAAACAGGGAGTGTCTCCTCTTGCCAAGATATTTCTCCATGTAAAGACTTTCATGTTGGCAACCCCCATGGATCTGCTGCATGTCCACTTCTCTACAGCTACAAGATACTGCATTTCTAGGCACTTCAGTACCTGAAATTTAAATTGCTTTGTAGATCAAAGGAAAAGAGTCTGAAAGGATGGATTTAGGAGAAAAAAATTAAGAACTGACACTATCTGGAGCTTGACTAAATGATGACTAAGGTAGCCTGGCAAAACTATCATGGATGTTTACCAGCAGAGGCACAAAATCCACTTTTCAACATTTATTTTTGTAATAATTAAAAAAGTAATCATATTTTAGTTGTATGAGCAAGCAGATGAGTAGAATTATGCAAGGCTGGGCTAAGGTGTGGGGACAGCATGTTATCTAGGTAAGAATTAATAACATTTTGTACTTCTGCATTATATTGTCATAGTTATAGACACATTCATTGACCTCTGAGAGTTAGGTAGGTAGTTTACAAATCAGGAAACAGAGACAGAGCGTAATATGTCTTAGCAAAGGTTACATAGCTAGTCAGTAACTGAGGGGGGACTAGAACTCAGTGGTTCTTGGCTCCCCCATCGATGCTTCATATATTAAGTCTATGGGATAATTTCCCAGTGGAAGTGGTGGTAAAACATACTGTATGGAATAATCCTTTACTGGCAGAGGGAATGGACTAAATGACTTGGGTCTCTCTTCCCTGCATCCTAGTGATAAGTTAGGCTGGCCTGTGTGAGTTTAAAAAGGAAAGAAATCCAAATGGCTCTGTTGTTAGCTTTCTTCCTTGAATAGCTCTTCTCAGAGTGCATCGTTGTGATATATTGCACATTTGGCTATTTTCAGTCTTAAGTCCATGTGTGAATTTAGCTTGGGTTTTTTGTTTTTTATTACTGAAACACATTTTCAAAAATGATCAGTGGTTTCAGGTGCCTAGATTTTCAGATGCCCAACTTGAGTCACCATCAAAGGGCCTGGTTTTCAAAGTGTGTGATGCTCAGCCATTTCTGATAATCAGGCACCTTTAAGTTCTCAGACAAGTTGGGTACCTGAAATTAAATCACTTTTGAAAATTGTGAACTTCCTGGAACTAAAATGTAAGTCATTTAAGTATTTTTCCTTCCCTGTTTCTGTTCGCCTGGTCTATAAGAGAGACAAGTAGGGTTGCCAATTTTGGATGTATTCCTGGAGATTTCATCACATGATACCCTTTAATTAAAGATTACTCTTTAATTTCTGGAGGGTTGGCAACCCTAGAGACAAGATGTAACATTTTCAAAAGCACAAGTGATTTAGGAGCTTAACTCACTTAAAACCAATGGACTTTAGGATCTTAAGTCACTTAGGTAAATTTTTTCTCAAGTGACTAATGGCCCCTGCTAACCATGTCTTCATGGCTCTATCGCAAAGCCTCCATCTTGTCCAGACAAGGACTGGACAAGACTTATGTCTGCATTCCATCAACCTCCTTTCTTAGTCCGTGGAGTTGTGTTGAAAGAAGTGGAAATTCAAAACTGAACAGGGGAGTTTTACTTCCAGAGCTGCCAGTTAATTATGTTCCCGGTTCATGAATTTGAACAGGTGGTCAAGTTTACAGACCTGCATGTTAAGACGAAAGATAAGTGTAATCCTTTTGGGGCATTTTCTTACTATGTGTTTATACTGCCTACCATAATAGGGCCTCTGTCGTGACTCGGGCTGCTGGGCACTATTGTAACACAAATAAATAATTACTTGCCTTTTTCATTGTTTCTGTAAGGTTGTGACTTGCAGTCTTGAATTATAGAGTTTATGAATTACCTGTACCAGGGTAGGATTGTGCTTTCAGTTTAGACAATTTCAAGTCCAGTGTGACACTAGTATCTGGCCCTTTTGCAGGAATAAGGGCTACATTATATTACTTCCAGTGCAAATTAATGCTTATGAATAATTTACCTGAAGATTGGCTACTTAGTAGGATCAAATTATTTCAGATACCACTTCCACAAGTTGAAATGTAAAGGTTTTTCTTCTTCGAGTGCTTGCTTATGTCCATTCCATATTAGGTGTGTGTCCTTGCCACATGCACTGGTGCCGGAAGTTTTTCCCTTAGCAGTATCCGTAGGGGACTGACTCTGGCGCCCTCTGTAATGGCGCCCACATGGCGTGGTATAAGGGGCACCGCTGGCTTTCCCCACCCTCAGTTCCTTCTTGCCGCCAGTGATTGTGCTGGAACTTCTGCTGCTTCGGCTAGCTTTCGCTTAGTTCAGTGTGTCTCACAAATATTTCTTTGTAAAATAGTTGTATATAGTTTAGTATTTACCCTTAGTATTAGTTGTAGTTATTTGGTCCCAGATGGGACTCAGCCTAGGGACAGGGCATGCCCCGATCCCCAGGCTTTAAACCATGCGATCATTGTGAGTAGCCCATGCTCACCAGCAACCTGCATGTTAGCTGTTTAAGGTGTCTAGGAGAAAGACACATAAGCAACAAGTGTCGCATCTGTAAGTCGTTCAAACCCAGAATGAAAAAGGAGTGAGACATCCGTCTCAGGGCACTCCTGATGGAGTCAGCGCTGACCCCAGCACCGGAGCTGAGGGCTGGGGAACAGGAATGGCATTTCAGTTGATCAATTGTAGATATCAGCTCAGAAGATATGTTTTAGGAGTATAATTAAAAAAAATTCGACTATATAAAATTTTATGTGACTCACAGCCTGATGGGTGCCCTCAAAACACATTCCAATTCCAAAAGCAACAATGAAGGAATGTGCTAAACATAAGGAATATATGGCTGCTTTCTAGAAGGTCTCTGATCTGGTAGACTGAAGGCTGGTATAAAGTGTTTGATAAAGTAGGTAAAGGCTCTGATCACTGTTTTATTTCCTTGTGTCTTCTGTTGGTTTTGTGACGCTACACCCCATATTCTTAATAGAAATATTATGATATGAATATGGCATAACAAAGATATATTTTATGCAAGATGAGTCATGTAAGGTATCATTGGAAAGGTTATGATTTGCTGAATGTGGTTATCCAATTTGTATACTTGTATCATTTCTGTATCTGAGTTAGGAATATTGACTAAGTAACAATTACAACTGTGTGTACTTGGGGGAACGCCCATCAGACAGTAGGTAATCAGCCTGAATGGGCCATTTAACAAAGACAACAGAACTTTGAAGATATTAATCTCCCACCTTCTGGAGAAGCTTCCTGGGATGTTGCTTTGACACTGCAGGGTCATGTGATGATGTCACCTGGTACGGAGTACCACGTTGGACACTGCTGGTATTTTTCCACTGGAAACAAAGGATTCCTGCTTTATGTAAATCCTACTTAAGGCTGGGAAGTGAGTCAATCAGGGCTCTTCTCTATTGCCTCCCCGCCCAAGAAGGAAGACTGATGAAAGCACCTGAAGAGACAAACTAAGCTGGGGAAAGGCTGGACTCAGCCCTTGCCTGAGACAGGGGTCTAGCCTGTGAAGAGAAATAACTTGAACTCTAAGCTGCAGAAACTCTGCAACCTGCCTAAAACAACATGAGGGTGAGGAATTACTATTTGTAACCTGTTTCTTTAGGAAATTAAATTTAAGTTGCATGTTATGTTCTGTTTGCTCGGTAATCTGCTTTGTTCAGTTTGCTATCCCGTAGAATCACTTGAATTTTACCTTTTCTAGTTAATAAACTTATTTCTTGCTTATTTCAAAACCCAGTTTGTGCAATTCATAACTGGGGGGGCAAAGAGCTGTGCATAGCTCTCTCCACATTGAGGGCGGGGGTGATTTTTATGAGCTTACACTGCATAGATCTCTCTATACAGGGCAAGACAATATAATTTTGGGTTTACACCCCAAAGGAGGTGTGCATGTGAGTGCTGGGTAAATTCCTGAGCTGAATCCTCCCACCCACAGCTGATTTCAGTCTGTGTTTGTAGCTGTGTATGGCTGTGTGTGTGTGTGTGCGCGTGCGCGCGCTAGAGAAGGCTTGAGATCCTGGCACAGCAAGGACAGGGTGAGGAAACCCAGGCTCATAGAATGGGTGGCTCAGTGGAACCCTAGCACATCCGGTGGCACCCTGAAAGGGGGGTCTAATCTGTCACAGGTGTATCCACCTGCTGTCTCTGGTCTAAATTGTAAGCTCTTTGGGCTGGGGACTGTCTGTGTTATGTTGTACAGTGTCTCACACAACGAAACTCTGATCCCTGATTGGAGCCCTTAGCACTACCATAGTTCACTTTACCAATCTTTGAAATGCAACTATCTCCAAGATAGAAGCAAGCAACACTAGTGTATAACAGCTTAGACTAGGAAGCAAAGTATTCTATTTCCAGTTGAAACTGAAAATCCCTTTTCCTGGACATTGGAGAAGAAAGAAATTAAGGGTCTCAATTTAACATTTTATTTTTTGTGACCCTCATTCTTCCTCTTTACATGTTTCTCATCCACTTCTTGTGTCTTGTTTTTCAGATGGAATGGGGACTGTCAGTGTGTGTCCAAACTTGTCTTGTCATGCTCCCCCTTACCAGTAATGGAATCTGTCTGCATGCTCTCCCCAGCTCCCATTACTGCACAATTGGTTCAGCAGAAGAGTTTGGGCTGAAGGCGGAGTTGGGGGCAGAACTGGGAATGGGGCAGGAGCTGAGGCTAGAGGCGGAGCTGGCCTGGGGGCAGACAGGGAATCAGGGCACAGCTGGGTTGGGGCCGGAGTGGAGCTGCAGCTGGGATCGGAGCTGGGCTGGGCCGTGCTCCCTCCCCACCCCCTGTGGGGGCTGGCCTGGGCACTGCTGTATGCCCCTCTAGGTGATGGTGCACCTCACAGTTTGGAGAACCACTGTTTTTATGGTATGTCTATGCTACAGTTAGACATCCATGGAGCTGACTCAGGCTCACAGCTTGGGCTAAGGGGCTGTTTAATTGCAGTGTAGAGGTTTGGGCTCAGGCTGGATCATGAGCTCTGGGACCCTCCCTCGTCACAGGGTCCTACAACCCAGGCTCCAGACTGAGACCAAACATCTACACTGCAGTTAAACAGCCCCTTAGCCTGCGCCCAAGTCAGCTGGCATGTGACAGCCATGGGTTTGTCACTGCAGTGTAGACATATCCTTATTGTGCAGTGCCTAGAACGATGGGGCCCTCAGCCTGGTTGAGGCCTGTAGGTGCTATTGCAACATAAATGCTAAATAATTTATTTAACTCTTTGGTTTAGGCCTGATGGTGAAACATCAGACTTCTGGCCCCTGGGTTGAGCAATGCTTTTTGACATTCATTTAGAACTAAAATATAGTAAGGTCTTGGATCAGGGAAGTTGTCAGTCCTTGTCCCCCCACAATCAAAAATGCATTAGGGCCATCTAAGAAGCTGTCCTTGGTCAACCTTGCACTTTGTGGAAAAAGAATTAAGCCAAATCTTCTATCTGGCTTTGCAGAAGGAATCACAGAAGCCCCAGGTCAGCAGAGAATATAACGGTAAATGCCTACACGCTGCTGCCAGTCAGGATGAGGGCTGCCGTCATCAGCAGGGTGGTCCTCTCAATAATCTCCCTGAAGACCAATGCAGAGGATAAGTTCCTGTTAAAGCAGGTGAGGCAAGCTCTGGCGGCTTTAGATGGCAAAAAGGAGTCTAGGCTTAAATTTAGTTTTGTGGATCTGTTTGGTAGCTGGTCTTGGACACTGGTTTCCTCTGATACTAGGTGGGAGTTTGCCCTGGATGCTGACTAGTCTAATCATGCTCTCCTCACTGTTCCTTTTCAATAACCTTTAACCTTTTTCTTCCTTTTAATTTTTTTAAAATCTGGTTTACTAGCTTTAAGTGGCATTTTAGCACACAAAGATATTGACTAGCCCTATTGATAGAGCCTGTTTTATTTAAAGTCAACAGATCACCAGTGGAGTGGTACCTGTGCTTGGTGCCATGTGACTGAAAAATAGTGTGGAAAAGTCTTGGTGCTCTTATGGGGGGAGAACTCGGTTTGCCTGTAAATCTAGGCATCTGTAAAATGTCAACAAAATGTACAACCTGGTTTCAGAGATGCATGTTCTGTATGAGTTAACTCATGTAAGTCAATGACCTAAAGAGAGGGGTTTGCTCTGTGAAATGTACAGTAAATGCCTAGAGGGCAAGGGGTAAAAATAGATTCCATATGTTGCCAGCAATAACTTTGTTGAAAAAAGCAACCACCTTGCATTTTAAACTCTTATCTGTAGCTGTGGAAGAATGTGAACTACCAGTGAGTGGCTCAGCTCATTGAAACAGTAAGACTCATAGAATGTGTCAGTGTGCAGTGTTTTGAAATTACCATATCTGTTTAGACAACAGTAATACAAGGAACCTCTTCTCCTTTCCAAGCGAAAGGAACAGTGTTACAGGGTTTTCTTCTTAGGCTTAACTGACACATAAACAACGATAGTTTTCTATTGTCAATCACTCAAGAGTTCTGAAAATCATTTTCATTCTGCATTGCGTTGCAGTCCGTCTTATAATAGGGGGTCTGAGCAGGGATTGCGTATATTAACTAAGAATTGATAATTAAGTATAAATTAGGTATTGGTAGCTTAGTCTTCTCTTTTCCAGTACTATATTTTACAATGCCACACTTTGCTGAGGCTGGCCAAGTATTATTTCTTCTGAGATCTTATAATATCTACTTTATCATGAGTATTCTAGAGAGACAGGGAAAACCTAATGGGATTGGGCCAGTGGTGCTCTGTACAAGTCCAAAATATCACATAAAATGCATTTGGTCCATAAATTAGAAACTAAGTAAGCAGTCTTTAAATTTTTTCTAGTCGGCAGGTTTTTTAAACTGTACCTAGTGTATTTTTCTGTATATGATGTACAGTGCCTGTGTGTATTTATAGCAAGACTTCCATCATTATTACTCTAATCTACAAGTATGACAACTAACTAATTGGTGGTTTTTGTTTTTTGAGTTGGGAAGGTTCACTAACCCACTCAAATATTCCTTGTTAGGAGCCTGCAAAGACTTGTGCACAAGTTTAATTTTACACACTGAATAGTCCCATGTGAGTCACTGAGACTAATCATGGTGCATAATTTGAAGCATGTCTGAAAGTTTTTAGGCCCTGTAACAGGGTTGGCACCCATCTCTTGCAAGCGCCTCCCCCCATGATGGGGTGTGTCTGCATTCTTTCAACCAGTCTAGCCCTGGTATGGGGCTGTTTCCCCAGGGCTTCCTCCCTGGAGACACTATCTTCCTGGTGCCCTTCCCAGGCTCAGTCCCTAGGAGCTTCTTCATTACTTTCCCCTGGTTGCTGCTAGCAAACTATCTTTGGCTTGGTCCTAGCAGCCAGCCAGGAGCCTCACTCCCCCGGTCCCTGCCCCCACTTAACTGTCCATCGTGCTGCAGTTCCTTCAGCCAGCCAGGCACGCAGTCCTTTCTTCTCCAGCTTCCAGCAGCAGGTACTGCTGCTCTGTTCTGCAGCTCCTTTTATATGGCCCTCCTGAGCCCAGACTGGGTGCTTCCCCCTGCAGCCCTCTAGCCTGCTTGGAGGACCTCTCCACTGCTCCTTTCCTGGGATGGGTGTGGCAGAGCCCTGAGGCCTCCAGCAATGCGTGTTTGGGCCTAGTCCATCCCATCACAGGCCCTGATCCTGCAAAGGCATAACATTGAAGTGCTGTAGTGAGATTTCCTCTGAAACCTTACAAAATAAATTAGTAATACTTACAATGTTGCATTTTCAAATTGCTGTTGATGGTATTAAATCTTGTAACTAATAGTGAGGAAACGGAGTCACGGATTGGCCCATGGTCAGAGTTTGGAAGAGCTGGGATTATAGGTCAGGCTCCTATCCACTTTCTCTAACCTCTGGACTGCCTGCCTTACTGGTAAAATGCACACATTGGTAAAATTTGAATCATCACCACAAATAAAACTGCACTTGTTAAAAGTAATAACATGCGACAATAGCCCTTGTCTCCAGGAGTGGCCCTAGACATTTTGCCAGCCAGGGAGAAAAATGATTGTTGTCTCCCCCTTCCGCCCTCCAACCCCCTCCCCTCAAAACCCCACTGGCCAATCAGTAGAGCTTTGCTGACAAAAGCCTTACAACAAATCTAGTCATCTTAACCCATAACGGATATGGGGCTCAGAGTCTGGTGACCCAACTTGTTCCAGTGGTTGGACGTAACTATGTTCCTCTGAGAGAGCATTCGTTCCATATCAGCATTGCTCAGAGGCATGACAAATAAGGAAAGTGAAAACAGGGCTAGCTCTTTAAATCACCATTCACCACTAGTCTTCAAAATTGTATACCTCCACCCAGAACTGTTCTGTGTGTGTGTGTCATCTGTAGTCTTCCATTTCTGGAATTTGATGGCTTGATACTGTGCATCCAAGGCCCCCAAGTCACCTTTGAAAATTTTTATCATGGAGATGGTCACTAGTGGAGGTTTTCCCTGAGAGAGAATAATTGATGGGCTAAACACTGACAGAGTTCCACAGATTAATAAATCTGGAAGTCTTGACTGCACTTGTTTAGCAGCTTCAAGGAGGAAGTCTCAGCATCTACTCTTTATAGTCCAACAGCTTTGTCAAGCTTTGCATCTCCTATAGCAATAGTGAACATTGCACCAAAATTAACAGCACACAGCAGCAAGTGGCTGGCTGTGTCACTCAAATCGACTTCAAGGAGTTTAGTGTCAGATGCAGGTATCCTTTGTGAAAACAACACTCTTGATATAAGAGTACAAAAGAAAGACTAGAGGCAGTCCAGCATCTTGAAGGCATTACCACCAGATTTGAGTTGCAACAGTTTGATGATTCTAGCAAATTCCTGCAGAATTGGTGTTAGAAACTGTAAATAGTTTATTCACAGGGTTGCAATACACCTGATACAGAACTTCTGTCTCATAGCATTGTTGTCTATCTTTGCTCAGTTGGAAATGAAACTAACTCATCCCACTGATCCAGTACGCACACACAACAGTTGTGAATGGAGAGCCATCTTGTCGCTGATAGCTGAACAAGCTTCAGTGGAGTGTTGCCATCATTAATAAGTTGATATATCTGCGCGTATTCACGTGGTCTCAGGCGGCTGTGAGAAAACCAGCCGTAGGAATGAGAAACTAAAAACTCTAGACTGTGTGGCAGCATTTCTACAGCTTTACTGGCACATATTTGATGAGACTGAGATTCTTATTCCTTTTGAGGAGATGCATGGAGTTGGAATTTTTCTTCCCGACCGTAACGCTGTAGCCGTCAGTCCCAGTCCCAATACATCTGGTGAAATCCAGACCAACACGGTCAAGAAACTGTATCAGTGCTGTGGCAATTGCTTCTGCTGTTTCACCTTCCAAGCTGACTAGTCCCAAAAACATACACAATTTTGCTTAAGGAGGAGCTGAAGTAACGTACTACAATTTACACGCTGCTTTACTGAAGCAATATCTGTGCTCTCATCTATAACCAGTGAATACTGGGACTCACAATGTCTTTGAGGTCAGAGAACATGCAAGGCACAATAATTGTTTATTAATGCCAGGCATTTTGTGTGATGGAATTTTACATCTTTATCAAAAGCTACTCTGGCAAGTTCACTGGGGTGATCCATGGAAGTAACTGCTGAGTGGCAGGCAACGTAGCAGGCCAGTGTTAGCTCCACTTGGTGCATCGTGGTTGACGGTTTTGATACTGTGAAACCAACATCTGTCAGGCGCATAGAAGAAAATGGTTTTGCATTTGCTTTATGTTTGTCAGTCCCTGCATGTTGCAAAAGGTCTGCATGCTGTGCGCAAATCAGGGCTTTGCAACATTTGCAAAAAGCTTTACTGTTAGCACCAACTGCAGGCTTTAACCAGTCTTTCAACTCCTTTTCTTTTTCCTACTCCTTTTTGTATTTTCCCCCATACTCTGCCCATTTGCTTTGCTGCTGGTGCATACTGCTCTTCTTGCCTCTTTTGTTGGCTGAGCCTCAAAATGGCGGACAAGGCAGGCTAAACTGGAATATGAGAGGAATAGGAGGGATGCATCAAGTGGGTGGACCTCGTCAAGAATGTTCATTATTTTGGCCCACACCAAGAACCACCCACAATAAGGACTCAGGAGCTTGTATTAAACTCGCAGGGTTACACCTTTTCTCTGACCTTGGATTGGTAGATGCAGCCACCACCCAAGTGCAGAACCCCTTTGAGAGACCAGGAAGGCCACAGGAAGGAATTCCCAAGTGTGGATACCCTCAAGTCCTTTCAACCCCCCTCCAGGGAAGAGCTGAGAAGGGGGGGGGGAGAAGAGAGGAAATCAGCTGTTGCCACCAGCTAATTAAACAACGTGCACAAACCTCTTCAGACAAAAATCCAATTCTGTTCTTAAAGGTAAATGTTATTAATAAAAGAAAGAAAATACATCTGGGAACTCAGGCTATTGATAGATTTTAAAAGAGCAACTACAAGGATTAAGCACCAAGAATAGCTTTCTTGAGGTCTAGCTTATAGCTTCCTAGACATTTCCTGATCTACTTACATATCTGGGGTTTAAAATGAGAAATTTCTAGGTATGATACTGATGATTTTTTTCATACCTGGCCCAAGCTTCTTAGAGCATAGCTGCTGCCATTCTGCTTCTCCCCAGGAGGACAGACAGACAAAAGGGGAGTCTTTTTTCAATTTTAAAAAATTCTAGTCTTCCCATTGGCTCTTTTGTCCAGGAGCCCACTCACTTCCTTTCACCTATGCATAGCAGTGAGACTTTTTAACCCTTTACAGGTAGGGCAATTAGAGAACAGCTGCTAAGAGCTTATAGCTACTGGCTGGCTGTCCATAAAAGGGAGCTACCTCCCCCCCTTCATTTATCAGAGGGGTGGAGAAAGGCCATCCACCACATTCAAATAATTGCATGAAGAACAACATGCCCGCCCAGAGATGCATCATTTCTGTAATCAGGTGTTCGGCTTTATATATGCAAGCACACCCCTTCCCATTACAGAACTCCACAAGTGACACATGGGATGGGAAGGGAAAAGGGAATAAACACCCCCTCTTTTATTTACTATTATAAGGGGAGGAGAAAGAGAAACAGGCATCCCTTCCAAAAACCAACTCACTCACAATAGTGTTATGTCACTTCTCTGGGGGTACGTGTAGTGTACCCGTGGGGCTACGCCGAGGGTTCAGAGGTTACATCAGCTCATCTATATATTTGCCTAGTTTTACAACAGGCTCCATAAAGAGCACTAGCAATGTTAGTACAAACTAAAATTTCATGCAGGCAATGGGTTGTTCATACTGTTCTATATAAAATATATTGAAATGCAAGTACAATATTTATATTCCAATTGATTTATTTATTTTATAATTATATGGTAAAAATGAGAAAGTAAGCAATTGTTCAGTAATAGTGTGTTTTAAGTAAGGTGAAACTGGGGGTACACAAGACAAATCAGACTCTTGAAAGGGGTACAGTAGCCTGGAAAGGTTGAGAGCAACTTGTGTATGTGCTACATTGCAAGGGGAAGGGGGAAGAAATTATATCTGCCTCACACCAACACCAGCCCGTCGGGGGGGGGGGGGGAGAGGAAGGGGTAGGAAAAGGGAAAGCTGGCTCCCCCATTATAGTCTTACTCAGCAGTAGGGGAAGGAGAGAT